ACCATCAACAGCGATTATAAAAGTAACACGTTTTTTTTTGTTTTTTTTTGAGCATTTTTCTTATTCCTATATGCTTTTATCATGCGAATTTTTTTTATTGCGAATGGGTTTATTTAGATAAACAAATATATCATTTGTTAAAATTTAAAAAATGACAGCTATTTTGTTTCCAAGCTCCAATTATCGCAATTTTTTGCAAAGCTTCCTTATTTGACATAAGTATAAATATATATATATGTTTGGAGTTTGCTCCATGTCTGGAAGTTAGCTATCTCAAAAACCAAAAAATACTAGCGCCGGCCCTGCGTGTACTCCACTACCATTTAAATTTAGAAATACCAAATTGTTAAAATTACTCACTAAAAATCAATAGAAAGGGAGATGAAACTTTTAGAATATCAAAGTTTTCCTGTTTTATGAAAATAATCTAAAATGTGTGCAGTTTGATTTTAAAATGTTGAAAAAGTTGCACGTGTGCTTCATACAAAATGTCTGCAAGTAGCTCAACGTATACACAAAACCGGTGCAAAGGAGGGGGTGAGTGGTTGAGGGTGTGACACTCCCTCTCCCATTTAGTGAATATTTATACCATATTACACGGCGAATTTGGATCCTTTTGTACCTTGAGTAGGCAAATTTGAACCTTTTTTAGATAAATGTCGGAAAAATTGGATTAAACTATTTATCTCTGGTCGGCAAACGAGTTAATTTCAGGACCTGCTAATATGCAAAGCAAATAACAGTATAAGACAACTTCAGAAAATTTTGAAAAAAAGTTATCAATTTTGCTACTTATAGCTACAATAAAAAACTCAATAAAATAAAAAAAAGAAGCATTTTTCAATGAGGGCTTTCTGAAAATTTTAAAATCTGCTTCACAACACTATATTATAAAATTGTCCATTACAACTGCCTAAATCAAACATAAAATTTTACCCATAAATTATAAAATAACTTTTTTTTTTCCCTGAAAATTTCCCGAATCGAAAATTTTCGGGAAATTTTCATTCTTAAGTAAAAGCAAATCCAATGGCTAGATTATTATGAATTTACCAACATATTTAAAAACACAGTCAAAACCTCTTTCTTCAAAAACAGTCAATAGCATTTTACTTTGGCAAAATATTGATGCTTATGCAACTGTTAGAGCACCATTGCTTGCAAGACTGTTGTAATGAGAGAAGTCTTTTGGTATGGTGAAAAAAAGTAGTTTGGATAAAACTAACACGGAAGTAATAAGTAAAAAAAAAAGATAGCTTTTGTTAAAGTTCTTAAACCTGAAAAATGTAATCACTTTATTTTACGGAGGTCAAAGAGAGGCGGTGAATGCGTAGGTATTAGGAACTGTTTCAGTTTCAACGGAGTAGGTACTTGATTGTATTTATTTTTATGTCAAAAAAGAATGTTTAAGAAAAGTTCGCGGTGATTGGGGCTTGGGAACAAAAATTCCTTAAAATGATCACCCTTTCTTCCCAAATATGAGGGGAATGAATAAATAAAATGTTTTAAATACTATTTAAGTTTAAATTAATTGAATGATTTTTAGTTCGATTTAATACTCTTTTAACGTTCAAATTTTATAATCATGTAAAATTTCCACCTTATAATAGTAATAACGAATGGGCATGAAATAAGAACAAACGTCATTTAGAAATATAATTATTACCATTTTACTAATGAAAATAAGTTAAAAAACACTTTATTCCAACACATTATTAAAAAAACCTTATTCCAGTCTTTTTGTTAGAATTAAAAACAAACAATAAGATATATTACTCAATCACAAACTTAAAGATCTTTAATGATAATGAATTGGTTAATCGCACTTTTGATGTTTTTGATTTAAAAATCCATTTTAAATCAAAAACATCAAAAGTGCGATTAACCAATTCATTATCATTCGACATCATTAACCAATTAAACACTTCATACTTGATGTGAAAACTTTTTTCAACATCATACAAACGTCACAGTCATATCAGTTAAGGTAAGTTTCCACTCATCCGTTTTTCTACGGAAACGGGATAGGAAAGGAAAAAATAATCACTTGAGCATGCGCAGTTTTACTTCGAACAAATTAAAACTTATAATACGCATGCCCACGTGATTATGTTTTCCTTCCCTTTCCCGTTCCCGTGAAAAAAAGAATGAGTGGAAACTCACCTTTAGAGGTGAAATTAACTGCACACAATTTTTGTGTAGAATCCAGTCTTCATCAAAGTTTTCTCCGCATATTATACATTTAATGACCAGGTTAATTTGGGTGTTATTTTTAAGTTTTCATTTATCTGCCATATATACTTTGAAAGGGTGGTTGAAATTTTTCATTGTTTTGTTTCATTTCTTTATTTATTATTTTAGATAGTGAGTCTAATATATATAGGCCCACCAGTTCACAAACTTCTGCACCGTCAAAACAACCCATTGTGACATCAAAGCAGTCGTGTGCTAAGTTTTTCTTCGATGTTTCGTTGTTAAAAAATAGCAAGGACTTTCTGCAATTTTTAATGACTCTGATGTTTTCTTCGCTAATACTTGTGTGTATTTTTGCAAACAGTATTGCATTACTTAGTATTTTTGATGTAATAGTGGGGTAAAAAATGGAGAAAATTAACTACTCGTTAAAAAATATACCAATACCAGACGAAACCAGTTATAAACTGCAGCTAATAGAAAAAACAGAAAACTTCATCAAGCGAATCCGCTGGAAAACTTTTTTTTTATTTAAACAAAATTAAAGAAAACCAGTCAAAAACAAATGAAACGTTTGGGTTCAAAACGAATAACACGCCACCTCAGTGCAAAGAATTGGAAAATTTTGAAAACGATTTACTCAATTTAATAAACCTTATAAAATTTAAAAAGATACACAACGAATTTCAGAGTAAATTAAAAAGAGACATATTAAATATAAAAACCAATCCTAACGTATTATTATTCGCCGACAAAACAAATAATATTTACCAAAATTCCAATCAGGAACACGCTAAACTTCTTAACGAAAATATCACAAAAGCGTATAAAAAAGCCCCACAGAAACTCGAAAGCTCAATTAACCTCAAAGCCAAAAATATAGCAAACACACTTAATAAGCAAACGAATAAAAGTAATCGCAAAATCTAAAGCTTTTATTACATTAAAAGATCACAAAGACTCATTCCAAAACAATAAACCCTGTCGTCTATTGAACCCCGCTAAAAGTAAACTTGGTCACATAAGCTAAAAATACCTTGACACTATATAAAAAAAATTAAGAACCGTATTAAATTTGAACCAATAGAAAAATACCACTGATGCAATCAAATGGTTTGAAAATATATCAGAAAAACAACATTGTGTTTTTATTCAACTTGATATTGTCGATTTTTACCCCACTATTACATCAAAAATACTAAGTAATGCAATACTGTTTGCAAAAAAACACGCAAGTAT